GGGTTACTCTATCGTTTTAAGCACTAGTTTTGGGCAATTTGAATGTGGTATGCCTTAAAGTACCTTTTTTTTTTTTCCTATTTCTTATGCTTGAGGTTCATCGAAACTCTGGATTTGTGAATCATGGTTTTCACAGAGGTTGGAAAATTTTTAGCCGTTATTTCTTCAAATACTTTTTTTTGTTCTTTTTCTTGTTGTTCTCCTTCAGGACCCCAGTCATCCACATATGAGTTCAGCTGTGTTCATGTTTTCGGGTTCTTTCTTTCCTCACTGTTTTATTTATTTATTTATTTTTTTAAATTTTATTGTTATATTCACCATACAATTGCAGCCCCCCCATTCTGACCCCAATCCCTCCCCTCCCGCCCCCGCCCCCCTAAAAGTGTCTCTGGTTCATAGTTTTTTGTTGATTTTGATTTTCACTTTCTTATAGTTATTCATTTTCCTGGTCCCTTATTTAAGTTTTCTAGATTCCTGCTATGAGTGAGACCATCCGGTATTTTTCTTTTTCTTTTTGGCTTATTTCGCTGAGCATGATCCCTTCCAGCGCCATCCATGTTGCTGCAAATGGCACGGGTTTATCTTTTTTGAATGCTGAGTAATATTCCATGGTATATATGTACCACATCTTCTTGATCCAGTCATCTACTTTTGGGCATTTGGGTTGTTTCCAAAGCTTAGCTATTGTAAACAGTGCTGCTATAAACATAGGGGTGCAGGTGCTCTTTGGAATTGATGTTTCTGTGTCCTTTGGGTAAATACCTAGGAGTGGAATTGCTGGATCATATGGAAGCTCTATGTTTAGTAGGTCCAGAAATCTCCACACAGCTCTCCACAGTGGTTGGACCAGTTTGCACTCCCACCAACAGTGCAGAAGAGTTCCTTTTTCTCCACACCCTCGCCAGCATTTGTTGTTGCTAGTTTTTTTAATATGTGCCATTCTCACTGGTGTGAGATGGTATCTCATGGTAGTTTTGATTTGTATTTCCCTGATGGCAAGTGATGTTGAACATTTTTTCATATGCCTGTTGGCCATTTGCATTTCCTCTTCAGAGAAGTTTCTTTTTAGCTCTTCTGCCCATTTTTTGACTGGATTATTTTCTTTGTTGTTGCTGAGTCTCATCAGCTCTTTGCAGATTTTTGTGATCAGTCCTTTATCATTAGTGTTGGGTGCAAAAATGTTCTCCCAGTTGGTGGGGTTTCTCTTTGTTTTTGTTATTGTCTCTTTTGCTGTGCAGAAGCTCTTTAATTTGATGTAGTCCCAGCTGTTTATCTTTGCTTTCACTATCACTGCTTTGGGTGATGTGTCTGTAAAGATGTCTTTGATGTGCAGATCACGTAGTGTTTCGCCTATATTTCCTTCTATATATTTTATGGTTTCAGGTCTTATGTCTAGTTCTTTAATCCATTTTGAGTTGATTTTTGTGTATGGTGTCCTCACTGTTTTATTTTGGATACATTCTATTCCTAATCTTTCAAATTAGAAAATCTTTTCTTATGTAATATGTAATCTGCCATTAATATCACTTAATTTTCATAACAAAAATTGTAGGCTTCATCTTGAAAAGTTCTATTACTGTTTTGAAAATATCTTTCATCATTCTACTATCTTTTTCAGGTTTTGAAAATGCATTTCAGAGATTTACTGACACGTGGCCATGCTTTTTTTTTTACTTACCTAGGGTCCACAGTTGCTATGTTAGCATTCTTCTCTGCTAATTCTAACATCTGTTCTGGGTTGGTTTTGATAAACTGATCATTCTCTTCATTTTGACTCTGTTGTCTTGCCTGTGTGCATGCCGTCCAGTCTGTGATTGGAGGCCAGGCATGATTTCACCTTTTTGGATGCTGGGTATATTTATATTTCTGTGCATTGTCTTGAGCTTTGTTCTGGGATGCCGTTGAATTACTTGAAAACAGTTCAACACTAGGGCCTTGTTTCATGCTTTTTTAGGCTGATCGGGGGCAGTGCTCAGTCTAGGTCTGATTCCCACTACTAAGGCACACACATCTTGAGAATTCTACCCAATGCCCATGATTCATGAGTTCTAGTATGCCTAGTGGGGACAACACTATTTTTAACCTATGTGATACCAGGCACTGTGTCCTCTGACTTTTGAATGGTCCTTTCCCCAGTCTGGAGTCATTTCCTCTCACAGTATGCTGCCACGTACTTGGGGGCCCTCTGCAGACCTCCAGGGTTCTCTGTTTACATACCTGCTTGTTTAAGGGGCATCAGGAGAGGGGGGTCAGCTTTACATTTTGCCAGACCAGAGGAGACAGCAGTGCCCCTCAGAAGCTCTGCCTTCCTCCCTGTTTGTAGCAGCCCCAGGTGGGTGGGAGTGGGGGGCTAAGCTAACTGACAAGGGACTGGGCCAGGAACGTGGGAGATGCCCAGCACAGCCCTTTCCCAGCGCTCAGTTAGGTCCTGAGGGGCTCCAGTGGGCGATGTCAGGTTAAATCAACCTCAGACATTTCACTTGACAAACCTAGGCGTTTTAATTTTGGGGCCAAGTCATCATTGCAGCTTGAAGTTAAGGTGTAGTATATACCGCCGGTGCTGGGGCTAAGGTGAGGCATGGTACTGCTTGCTGGGCAGCAAAGACCAGAAACGAATGGAGCCAGCCCAAGAGAGGTAATTATAGGGATGCTGTTATGGACTAATGTTTGTGTGCCCCACATCCATACACTGAAATACTAATGCCCAATGTGATGTATTCGGGGGCGTGGGGCCTTTGGGAGGTGATGCATTCACGGGGGTGGAGCCCTCATGAATGGGATTAGTGCCATATAAGAGGCCAGGGAGTTACTTCTTTCTACCATGGGAGGGCACGGTAAAGGCAGGCCTCTGTAAAACAGGATCAGGGCACTCACTCACACAGACCCTGGCCACACAGGCAGCCCATCGATTTCCAGCCTCCAGAGCTGTGATAAATAAATGTCTGTTGTTTGCAGCTACCCAGACTGGTGCTTTGTTATAGCAGCCAGAAGTGACGAAGACAGATCGAGACCTGTGGGTGCCCGATAACAGCGCCAGTCTCTGGTCTGGTCTGGAGCACTCAGGACTGCTCCTTCCACCAGCCGGTGCAAGGGGTCTGGTCTTTGAAATAGTACTACTAGCTTCTAGAGCACGGACACTTGTGAGCCAGGTGCTGTTCAAGATGTTCGATGGGTGTTGAAAAGCATTTAATCCTCTGGGAAACTTGCTGAAATACTAGGGTATTTCACTTTTTATACTTGAAGGATTTGAGATACAGAAAGATTTCTTGCTTCCAGACTAGTGTGCAAGACCCCTGGGCACCCACGGAGCCCTGTGCTGGGACGGAAGCTGTGGGTGACCCAGCCTAGGAGTGAGGCAAGGCAGCCCTGGAGGTAAGGTGGGGGCGCATTTGTGACCAGACAAGTGCAGGTGGCTGTAGGGGGGCACCCAGGGTGGGGACTTGGCAAATGCAAAGGCCCCGCAGCAGGAGGGAGCGAGGTCAGCAAGAACGGAGTGCGAGGCCCGAGGGCAGAGGGTAAGGGCAGGGCTGCCAGCTGGGCAGGGCCAGGCTGAACCTGCTGGGTCTGTAATGAGCAACGTGCTGCCCACAGGGGGACGCCGGGGAAGGCCGAGGTCACGCACTGGGACAGAGACAGAAAAGGGGCGAGGCACGGGCCGATTTCCAGGGCTGGTCCCCCTACCTGAGACACCAAAGCAGAGCGTCGCCCCAGCAGGGGGAAGCCCGGGGTGCAGCCAGGCGCCCCCCAGCCCCTGCTCCCGCGGCCTCGGGCCTCTCGGCCCGACAGGCCCCACCTCAGCGAGCGCCCTGGCGCGGCGTCTCCCCGGCTCCCCTCGCCCACGCCGGCCACGCTGCCCCAACGGGCCCCCGGCGCGGGCCTCTAAAACGAACGATTTTTTTTCTTTTCGGGAATTCGGGTTGGTCCAGCCCCGCCGGGCGCCCCGCAGACACCCCGGGGCCCGAGCGCGCGGCGGGCGCTGGACGCGGCCCCCGGCTCAGCCCGGCGCGTCCCGCGCCCCCCGCCCGGGCGCCCCTGCAGCCGGGACGCGGTCGCCCGCTCGGGCCGGGGCTGCGGGCTCGCCCCCCGCTCCCCGACACCCCGACCAACGCGGGCGCCCGGCGGGGGCGCGGGCCCGCTCCCCGCGACAGCGCACCCCGAGGCGTCGGCGTCGGGGCGGGCCGGGGGCGGCGGCGGGCGGTGGCCTCGGCGTCGCCGGAGCTGCGGCGCGCGTCCCTCGACGCCCCGGCAGGCCCGCGAGCGCCGGGCCCGGAGCGGGCGCCCGGCGGGTCGCGGGCGTGGGGCGCCGACCCCGGGGCGCGCCGACCCCCGGGCGCGCGCACGAGGAGGGCGGGTCCCGCAGCGCGGGCGCGCGCCGCCCGGCCGCCCTGTGCGCACGCGCCGGCGCCGCAATCTCGGCGGCGCTCTGCAGGCCCCGCCCCCGCAGGGCGGGGCTCCCGGAGGCCCCGCCCAGCCCGCCGGCCTCCCTACGGCGCGCGGCGAGGTCCGATCCCGCCGGGCGCCGGGCGCCGGGCGCCGGGAGCCGCCGCGCAGGGGCGGGGCGGCGCGCTGAGGTCAGCGCGACGGCGGCCGGCCCCGCAGCGGTTGGCTGCGCCCGCGCCGGCCGCGCCCTGGTTGGCTGCGGGCCGCGGGCTGGGCGCGGCGCGGGGCGGGGCGGGGCGGGGCGGGCGGCGCGCGGGCGGGCGGGCGCCGGCCGGGCTTGCGCAGCGCTGGGCTCCGCGCCGCTCGGGTCGGCGGCGGCGGGCGGCGGCGAGGGCGCGGCGAGGCCCGGCGGGCGCGGGCGCGGGGCGGCGCGGGGCGGCGAGCCCCATGGACCCGCGGGCCCCGGCGCCCCAGACGCAGCGCCGCCGCGAGCGGGCCCCCGGGGCGGCCTAGGCCGGGGCGCGCCGGCGCGCGCGGGCGGGCGAGCGGGCGCCGCGGCCCCCGGGGGCGCGCCCTGACGGGCGGCCGCCGGGCGGGTCCCGCGCGGGAGCGGCGCCGCCATGTCGGCCAAGGTGCGGCTCAAGAAGCTGGAGCAGCTGCTGCTGGACGGGCCGCGCCGCCGCGAGGGCGCCCTGAGCGTGGAGGCGCTGCTCGACGTGCTGCTCTGCCTGTGCACCGAGTGCGGCCACGCGGGCCTGCGCCGCGACAAGTACGTGGCCGACTTCCTCGAGTGGGGTGAGTGCCCGCGCCCGCGCCCCCGCGCCCCCCGCCCGGCCGGCCCGCCCGAGGCTGGAGCGCGTTTCCTGCCGCCCTCCCGGGATATCCGCCCCCGCCCCGCCGGCGGGCCCGGCCGGCCCTGGGCGCCCCACCCGGCGGCCGGTGACAGCCCGCGCGGCCCCGCTGGGTCCGGCCCGGCCCGGCCCGGGGCCCTGGCGCCGGCGAGGCGGCTTCGAGGCCGAAGGCCTGGTCGCCGGCGGTCGTGCGCGAGCCCGCGGCCCGGCCGCATTGTGCTCGCCCCGCGCCCGCGCTGTTGGGGGCGGCCGGGCCGAGAGAAACTTTGCTCGCCTGACCTGCGAGCCCTGCCCTGCCGGCGGGACCGCGCTCGGCCTCCTCTGCTTGCCCGCGAAAGGCCATCAAGTCGCTTAGTGGCGTTTCGGGGCTGGAGACCGAGGGCCCCGCGAGGCCCGGCGGCCGTCCGAGCCCTCGGACTCACCCGCGGAGAGGCGGTGCCCCCTCGGGCCGAGCCTGGGGACCTGCCGCGGGCGTTGGCCGCGCAGTCGTTTCTGATCTTGGGCTTGATAAGGCTGATATTTACTCGGAGAAGCAAACCGACGAGCTTGCCGGAATGGGAGCTGCAATGTGGAATTTTGTCTCCAAATTAAACCTTAAGTTGCCATGTTCTTCCCAGGGCTGCTGTGTTGCTCTTGGGTGAGCCCGGGAGAGCACCGCCCGGGTGTCCTGCAGGGTGGGACTCGGTGCGGGGGTGACGCCGCCCTCAGAAGACGCAGGGAGTTGGCTCTCTGGGGTCCTTTATCCCTGGCCGGTTTTCCGACTGAATACCCAGCCCCCTGCACAGTTGCTCACAGAGCGAGGTCTTCCTTGCCTGGGACATGGGAGGCTCCCAGGAGCTGCCTGCCCTTCTTTTCTGAGCTTTAGGTTTTGCAACCACAGACCTGAGCCACAGTCGGGTTCATCTCGGAGCGCGTCTGTGAGAGGGAGGAGGAAGCGGCAGAGGTTGGGTTAGCTGGCAAGGTGTGGCCGGCTGGCCTCTGGCCCGGGGACCGCAGCCCCTGGGTGGGGAGGAGCGTGTAGCTGGGTGCCCTGGGTGAGGGTCCCTGTGCTGCCCGCGGCCCAGCTCCGGCAGCTGGAGGGCTTAGGGGGGAAGATCTTCTTAGCATGCGTGCAGGCCTTGGTCGGTGAGATTTGACTTTCCCAAATCCAAACGGAAGCTGTGTGCTCTAATGTAGAAGTATTTTCAAAATTTTGTGTTGGCTCTTTAGAAATGATTACGAATAAATCAAGCTATCCTAAGAACTCAGTTGGCACAGAAGCATAAACTTTAAATAATGAAAGAGATTGCAGTTTTGAAGGTGGCATTTTAATGAACTCTTAATCCACTTTGGAAGTGGCATTCAGCCCCCTGGCAGTGGCGTGCACGGCGGTGGCATGGTGCCAGCGAGCTAGGGGTGCAGCCATTGCTCGGTGTTAGTGGGGTGTTGGGTTATTTCCATTGGAAGGCAAAGAGTGACCTTTCAAATGGGTGATATTTGGAGCATTATCGGTACCCTGACTCCTTGAAGGAATTACTTCTGCTTGGAAAATAAATGTGAGATACAGGTGCCCACCCCGCCCGCTGGGTTTGGGGTCACCCTGCAGGACCTGTTGCTGCCATATTTGCTGTGTGGCGCTGCTCACAGAGCCTGCTCAGGGTCTGGTGACAGGTGTGTGGACTCTGACTCTCCATTCAGAGAAGTAGCTGGTGCAGCTCAGTTTTTGAGACTTTCGGGGAATCTGAGAAAATTCGCTAAGTGTAGGTAATTAAGTCTTAGGTTTTGAAAGAGAACCCCTTCCACCTCTTGTTTCCTTATTGCTGTGGTGGGCACATGAACCGGCCGTCTTAGCTCTTCAGGTAGGTTTTGTCTTTAATTTTCCCTTGACTGTGTTCATAGTTTGAGCTTCTGTGTAAGATCTTGTATCTTAATTAAAAGTTGAAAATTCCCTATTTGGCTTGTGTAGTTCCTTAAGCGATTTTAATATAAATTTGATACCTTTCGAGGCGGGGGACCAAACACTAAATTTTTCCAAGTAAATAGCAACTAAGATGGACACGAGGCCAGTTTGTGGAGTGGCTGGCGCCCCTGTGGACAGTGCTGAGTTTTGAAGCCCCAGTTTGTTGGCCTTGGGGGGATCACAGTGGCTCTGCTCTGGCCCCCCAGTCGCCTGCCTTCCTGGGAGACAGACCTGAACTGGGCAGGCCTGAACTGGGCTTCTCTCCCTGGGACCAGTATGTCTTCCTTAATGCATGGAGTTCACCTGCCAGCTCTCTGGAGGTGTCCTAGCTCAGGGCCTTTCTCACGACGAGCACTGCTGTGCCGCCTCGAGTTGTCCTTCATCCGTGTGCCCCAAAGTGGTTGCCCCGCAGCCAGGCCCTGGAGACCCCTGGCTGTGAGCGCCTTGCTCAGTGGACCCAGTGCGGGCAGCCTGGTAACTCCACACTGCACAGAGGACGCCAGAGCAGCCGAACGGACGTAGCTTTTGAGTTGAATGACCGAAGAGGCCAAATCAAGACGTTCACCTGTTTTCTTTTCCTATCGTTGGAACGGGGATAACATAAAACTAAAGAAAAATTTGAATTACCACACAACCCAAATAAAACCCCTGCGTCTCATCCTGCAGCACAGCATCTTGTCTCGAGTCTCAGGCTCTCGCGCAACAGGTGGCGCTTGCTTGGGCGGCAGCGGGACGGGAGGGCACAGGTGCTGGCGGTGCGAGCGCCGTGGCGATTTGGGGAAGGCTTTGTTCGTGCTTGAGAGCTGCCAGAGAAACTTCACTTTTTTAAAACCAACACTTTCTGCAGGGTGAGTTAAGGCCGCAGTTGACAGCGTGGCTTTAAGTCATCTGTGTTGCTCGGGGCTTTTGGTCGGTCTTATTGACCGGGAGGTAATTGGCGGCAAAATTGGTTTTGGATTCAATATTGCAAAGTGAGTCAATTATATAATAGGAGACTTTGGGTTTTGTATCTGCAGGCAAGAATCACGTTCAGAGGGAATTTGGAGTGGAGTCACTTAGTCTCAGCCAGTCTCTGCCCTTGTCTAGCGCTTCCTGCAAACACGGGGAACTTGCTCTTATCAGGGGGCTGCTGGGGTGGCGGGGCCTCCAGAATCACAGTCCCAGGTCTGACACCGTGGGCCGGGGATCTCACTCAGGCCTCGGCGGTGATAGTGCTGAGATTTACCCTCTAGGCCGCCAGGGAGGCAAGTCTGACGCCATTGGGATGGCGATGGCTCCAGAACTCAGCCTCGGGTACGAAACCTAGAAACAGGAATGATGGTGACCTGCCGTTCGCGCCCTCTCCACGCGCCCGTGTGCTCAGCCAGCCTGAGGGTCCCTCCGGATCACTCCTGGGCCAGCAGCCCCCCAGCCTGGGTTTTCTCTCCTCCTAAGACCAGTCAGGGACCTGTTAACACGGGGCCCCCTCGCTGGCATCGGCCTGGAAGTAGCCGGTTTTAGAGCAGCCTTTCTTTCCACGTCCATTGTCCCCGCCCTGGCCGGAGCCCTCAAGCCGCAGGCCTGCGTGGGAGCCTTTCTCACGGGAAGACGTGGCTGCCCCGCCGGACCCGTCTCATGCGTGTCTCATTTCATGCTCCCCCTTCGGAAAAGTCTCCGGTGACTTCGGATTCTGTCGCCTTGAAAGACGCCATGTGCAATCCACATCCAGGGTCAGAATTGACTCCAGAGACACACCTGATCTTAGTTTTAGGGGTTGCAAGGCGCAGCCCTTCTGACCAGACCTGCGGGGGGTTTCCTTGAGCTGTAGCGCTTCCTTTGTCAAAGTAGCGCGTTGACTTCGTTTCACAAGTCGGGTAGTCGTGGGAGCCGTGGTGGGACGCAGCAGAGTCCCCCTGCCCTGTGTGGCTCTCCCTCCGGGGGGCGGCCCCTCTCAGCCCCTCTGCTTCTGCCAGGAACGGTCTCCCTGGAAACAGCCAGAGCACAGAGGCTTAAAATAAGGCACATTAAGTGGGGTCTCAGAGTCCAGGGCTGGTAAGACGGCCTCGGGCCAAGAAGCCCTGGGCGGCCCCTCCTCACCCTCAGCTCGGTGGCCGCTGCACCTCACTGGCGGCGGGTGTCTGTTGCCACGGAAGGCGGGGAAGCCAGGGTGCTGGCGGCTACTCAGCGGTTTCTGCCTCAGATTTCATTTTTCTATGTAGCAGGCTTGTTCTGCTCGTTTCTGGTTTTTCCATTTTAGATGTTTTCTGTGGATTTCCTACTGTGGAGAAGGTTCTAGAACCCTTACATCTCTTTTTCCCAAAACACTTCCCCCTCCCTTTTTCAAATATGACTGTAGAATGGTTTTTGTTTACATGGCTATGTCTGTCGGTCTCTGTTCTTGTTGTCAGGCTGATTCCTTCGCAGCTGAGCCACGTGTCTTTAAGGGACAGCTCGGCCTGCCCGCAGGGCGCGCCCAGCCTCTCCCCCTCAGACTGTGTCCAGGCCTCCCTCCAGGCCTGCGCCTCACAGTCGCCTGGGGTTCCCCAGCGGGAATTCCTTCTGTCTCCTCTGTCGAATCCCCCCTCAGAGACCTGTGTTTTTCTCCTTTTGCTGAAATACGTTTTCCGAGGCTTCCTGACAAAGCTCACCAGTGATACAGCTTGGAGGCCTGGCCTGCCTGTGTCTTCGCTTCCCTCAGCCTTCGGTGAGGTGCGCTCGGGCATCGAAGGCCTGTTGCCGCCTGGCTCCCGGGCGCCGGGGCGCCGCAGCCCGCCTGTGAGGGGCTGGGATTTCCCGGGGCTCGTGTGTCCCTCTTCCAGGAAACTTTCCGGGGTTGCTTCTCCGTTCTCTCTCCCTGAGGAGCCTGCCCGGCCCCTCTCACCTGCTTTCCCCCTTTGCGTGTCCCCCACGTTCCTGGGCAAGCCCTCAGCTTCATCTTCTGGGCGTGTGACCTGCCAGCCTGGCTTTCGTTTCTGCGTCTTGCTCTGGGTATTCCTGCCCCTGGCATCCTGTTCTGTCTCGTCCGG